AGGAGGGGCAAAAGGGGCATTTGCCCCAGGCGGAAGTTTTTTGGGGTGGTAAATGTTTTGTAATTTTTTTTTGATTGTGTTTATACAACAAATTATTTCATAGTATATTGACATTTATGTAATAATATATAATACATTAATACATCATACATGTATGATATATACAGTCATATAAATAATAATTATCAAATATTATATTATAACATACCTATTACATAAATATAATTATTATATTTAAATATATTATGATAGTGTGTACGTGTGCCCTGTGGTTGTGGTAATTTCCAATAGTATTTTAATAGATATCTCTAGCCTTCATGGTATTAATAATTGTTAGTTTTTACCACAGATACATAAAATAACAATAATAATAAAGTTATTGTATATACTAGTGCTGAACACCAAATCCAAATTAATCCATATCCGAATTATTTTATAAAAATTAAATTGAAAATTTACTGTATACATATAAATAACACTTATATAAACATTTGGTCAAAATTTCAAGTGTTTAATCTTGTTATCTTCATGGGTTATTCTATTATCGCATGTATTGTTATTGTTCAGAAGTGCTATGAATAAATATTGTGTTGCGTTCTACGCAGTGTTGCCAGACGTGGAGATAAATCGCCAAAGTGGTGATATTTCACATCTATATGGCGTACAAATTTTTAATTTGGTGTACCAGACCATCCACCTCGTTTCATATTGTTAAAATTCTTATGTGATGGCGATTCAACCTCACAGAAAAATCCGGGACGAGTAACCCGAAGGCGTTCATCGTATTAAATTGAAAAGCGTATTATTATTTTTTTGATTAATATATATATTTTTTTTTCTTTTCTTTTAATTTTAGATGAGGTTTTTTGATCGCTCGATTTTTTGCCTCATAGTAACATAAAATATTATCTTAAAATAAAACCTCATATTAATTATTCAACTTTAAAAAATTGTCTTTTTCTTGTGTGCCCAGTTTTCAACGGAGTCACGAATTTTTTTATATGTTCTTATCAAAAATTTTTAGTAATTAAGGTACGGGCAACGGTATCCTCAACGACCATCCCACATGTTATATAATCGAATGTTATGCGGTAATGAAGCAACACCACGGTTATACAACTATTCAAATATAACAAATTTTAATTATTACAAGCAAAAAAAAAAAATGTCAAGTTAACTTCAGTGATTAACGCGGTATTTTTCTAAAAAAAAAAATCCTATTGTGGTCCGACCTCATGGTCTGGCCCAATAGGTTGGCGACCCTATTTTTTTATATTTCCTTATGAAACGCCATGTAAGTTACAACCAGGTCCATTGCGTCTAGTCATATTTATATTTATTATTCTGATAGTTGTAACCTTACAATCTAATAATCATTAAACCTATTTTACAAGAATTAAACTGTTTAAACTTGACTTTTCAAAAAGATTTTGTTGATCTTGGAAAGTCGTATGACGATATCTGTTATTTATTTATTTATTTAGCAAAAAAAATTATGAAAGCAGTTGAGGTTTCTAAAGGAAATTAATATATATTTTATAATATTAATAATGATTCTGTATACCATTACTGGAATAATTGTGATTATGGAATAGGGTATAACCAATCGATTGTAAATATTAATTTATCTCAAGGAAAAAGGTCTAATGTACTGGCAAAAGCTTTTAATTTTATTAAAGAATTTTTTTATTTATTTTTTTTTTTTTTTTTAGAACCTTTAGTTATTAACTATTACAGTTCAACAATTACAGATAGTGATTACATAAACCAATTAAGATTAAAGAATTTTATTATACGAAATAAAAAAAGGTTGCCCGACAATATAGAGTTTTTCAAGAAACTGAAATTATTTTCACCTTCACTATGTTTAAGCCAGTTGAATGGAAAATTTATAGATTTGCCATTTGTTAATTTATTTTGTAAACCTTCTGAACTTGCGTTGTTAGATACACAGTGGAATAAATTAACAACAGTTACTTGGAAAATGTACCTAAATGAAAGCCAATTAAACCATACTAACCTATTATGGTCACAAGTATATAATTATAAAAATGCTGGTAGAAATTTTGCATTTAGGGAATTGTCAGAATTTGTTCTCAAATGTCTATCACTGCCTTCAAGTAATGCTGTAGTGGAAAGAGTTTTTTCAATAATGAACACGGTTAAAACCAAGTCTCGAATTCGTATCCTGGCAAAAATGTTGGATGCATTGTTGAGAATAAAATGTAAATTTATTGCTACAAAAACATATTGGACTAAATTTATACCAACAAAGTCAATGTATGATAAGTTTAAAGCAGACATAATGTATAAACATGAATTAGATGGAAATTTAGTCAATGATATTGAATCACTAGAAAATGGTTCTACTTTAAATGACGAATTAATTAATATACTGAATGAAATAAGTATACCAGATTTTTATGAAACATAATTTACTTTTAAATATAATATAAAGTATTAAGATTTTGTATAATTTTTTAAGAAAAAAGGAAAAAAATGCATTATTATAATATTAATTTTGTTATTAATTGTTTATCTTATTATATTGAATGATTTGTAATTTTATTTGTTTGTTGTTTAAAGTATTATATTTCACTATGTTCTATATGATATTATATTTATAAAAGTTCATATTAAAAAAAATCAGAAAATTACTACTTTGTTTACAGTAGTGGTTTTTACAAAGTAAAAGAAAAAAATTATATTTTAATAATAATTATTTTTGTTTTTGATTGTTTATCATATTTTATTGTTATATTGAAAGATTTATCATTTTATTTGTTTGTTGTTTAAAGTAGGTTTTAGATTTTACCTTGTTTTATACCTATGAAATTATACTTATAACCAAAAGTTAATAATAAAAAAATTTAGAAAATTTCTACTTTTTTTTATTAGTTAAATGGTTTGTATTTACCTGTTGAGAAATTTTTTTAAAAAGAATTTATCCATATGTATGTTCCACTGAATATATTATAGTCTATTCTATAATCAAATGTATTTATAATGAAATACAACTATGTTATATGTTACCATACATAATTCGTTCATAATTGTGTTAGCCGAATAAAAATTAAACAACAAAGTGGTGTCAAATATAAATTTTTTTATGATTTTTGCTATATATTTTTTTATATTTGGCGATAATTTTTTTATATTTGGCGGTAGATAGCGATAATTTTTAATTTTAATTTTTGCGGTAGATGGCGTTATTATCAAAACAAATTGACGATTGACAGAGTGATAAGTCTGGTAACATTGTAACTGTTATTAGTAGGGCTCGGAACTTAATGCACTTAAAAAGTTCTAAATATGCATGTACTTATGCACTAAATAAGTACAAATATGTGCTTAAAAATTTGGTAAGTAAAATAATGGTGGAGGATGTTCGTCTTTCGTCTATTCGGTCCTTGGACATTTTTTTTTTTAATAAACAATTGAAAATACGTTCTATCTGTATCAAAAGTTTCATTATGATTGAATAAACTATTTTTTTTAATCAACATTCAAAGTTAAAAATTGATGAAAAACAGTCTATTCAATAAAAATCATAATAATAATTTATTTAAACGTTTATAAAAAAATTATAAAGTCACTATTTTTAAAATTTTGTCAGTATCGTTAGTTTAGTATATGAGTTAAGTCATATTACATTTTCAGAACTTTTCATCAAATATTATAAATTTTATTACAAAATACTTTCAATAAATTAGGTAATTTCATATATGTAATATTAGTATCTAAAATTAAAAATAACTATATTAGTTTTTTTAAAGAGATTTTAATTATAATTTTATTCAATGTTGAATATAAAAAAACATGTGTATAATTTGATAAAGAAATATAAGAAATATGTGCACAGATTTATTCTAAAGTACATTTTAGTTACTACATACCACTTAATTTAGTGTTATATTATTATATATTTAAATTATTAATTTGGTAATATTGAACTAGGTATTTCAATAGCATTTTAAATTATTTTCACTATACTTTGAAATAAATGTTGAACAGAAAACTCAAAGTTTAATCTTTTTGCCACAAATTTAGAAAATGTGGAAAATGAAAAAAACTTGTTATTGCCTAGCTGTGAACCTACTATTAGCACAAATACAGATGATAATTGGGTAAGTAAACACTAAATAGTCAAAACTTCTATATATAGAGAATGAACAGTTTTTTGCTATCAGATTTTGAACATGTTAATTTGGTATTATTTGGAAATAAGTTCTGATAAACATGCAATAAATTAATATTTACCTAATTATAATCATTCAATAACATAACTACTAAAAAAAAACATATTTTAAATATATAATAAGAATAATTTGTTGAATAAAGCACAATTTAGCAGAGACAGTGTTAATAAATACCTAATTTATAGATATATAACACTAATAAATTAACGAATAAATTAATTAATAAATATTACTTTTGATATATTAATTTGTTGTATTATTAGTAATTTTAATTACTTTAACAGAAAACCCGGATTTCTAATACAATTACTGATACAGCAAACTATTCACAAAATATTTCACTGCCTGGCTCCTGTAAAAAAAATAATGAAAGCTCTTAATACATTGATGATAGTTTTGTGAGTTTTCAATTTTCATTATGTTAGTATATTTTTATTTTTATTTTTTCATTGTTTTTTAGAAAGAATCTGCTGTTCTGCCTAACTTGGACCCTGCCTAATGGAAAATTAATTCAAATTTAATAAACTATTTTATTTTGAATCAACCAATTCAAGATGTTAAAAAAATTAATTTTAATAAAACTGAATGAAAATGTGGAAAATATTTCCGAAAACTACCTTGTAGTATCTTTATTAGGTCCTTGCATAATGGGCAAACTACTAATACAGAGTGGTTTTTATACTCTTTGTTAGTAAATGCATTATTTTGTTTCCAGCGCCTTCTTTTTTCTAACAGAAAAATTAATCTTGGAAATTTAAAATATGGATTGAATAAAAGAGGTAAATGCGAAAAAAAAGTAAAATGCCACGAAGAGGGCTAAGTTCAATTAGAATTTGGTTTTCAATGACACAAAAAAATGCTAATTCAATTGATAAAGTGTTACACGAAGAAATGGAATCAAAACTAGTATATTTCACTAATTTTCTCCATCGAGTTATTGCGACAATTAATTTTTTGGCTGAAAGAGGACTACCATTCCGTGGTAAAAACAATGAATTAGGCTCAGTACATAATGGAAATTATATGGGATGTTTAGAATTTATAGCTAAATTTGATCCTTTTTTGTCAGAACATATTTCTAAGTACGGTAACAAAGGGAAAAACAATGTCTCGTATCTATCCTCGATAATATGTGAAGATTTTTTAACTTTAATGAACAATTTGGTTCGAAAAAAATTGTTACAGAAATTATTGAAGCCAAGTACTTTTCAATCATAGAAGATTCTACTCTAGATATTAGTAAACAAGACCAATTAACTGTTGTGATTCGGTATATAAAACCAAATAGAAATTCTGAAGAAAGTTTTTTAACATTTTTATCCTCTGCAGGACATAAGGGACAGCAAATGGAAGAACCGTTAATTGATAAATTTAAGAAATTGGACATAGACATAAAATATTGCAGGGGACAATCGTACAAAAACGCATCAAATATGTCTGAAAAATATAATGACTTACAAGCACATAATGAAAAATATTCTAAAAATGCTAATTTTGTACCATGTGCCGCACACTTACTAAATCTTATTGGGTTAAATGCAGCAGAGATTACCAAAGAAGGAACTCGATTTTTTTATGATTGTCAAATGGTTTACACTTTTTTTTCATTATCCACATATAGATGGAATCTGTATAAACAATCAACCAAATCTGTCCTTAAGAACTTATGCACAACAAGATGGTCATTACGTTATGAAGTGTGTAAAGCTCTATCAGTTGGTTACAAAAACATATTACAAGTTCTTCAAGTTTTGTTAGAAGATAAAATGCAACAACCATCAAAAAGATATGAGGCTACATTAATAAAAAAATATATATAAAAACTAGAATTTGTTTTTATGTTAAAAGTGTGGACACCAGTATTAAATAGGTTTGATTCTACGAGCAAAATATTGTAGTCTTCCAATATTGATTTATCTATCGTTGTTAAATTGTACGAATCTTTGGAAAAATATATACTAGATCTTCGAGAAATGTTCAATAACTCTTTAAAATATTCCCAAGACCTTTGCGGAAAGACTGTATTTTCGTGGGAAGAAACAAGAATAAAAAAGAACAGCATTTTATGATGTTTTTAATTCTAACAATACTGTTCACATTGCAAAAAAATAAAATGAAAAAAGATATTTTTTAAGTCATAATTGATACATTATATTCAAATTTAAATGAACGTAATACAGATTATTTAGATATTAATAAAAACTTTGGTTTTCTATTTGACCTGAATCGTTTGGATAGATACTTTAAGTGTACGTTGTAAATACATATACTGACGATTTGAATACATAATTTATTGAAGAAGTTATTCAATTTAATAAAATTACTGAATCATTTGATAATAATGATTTATCTATTAATGGGCTATTAAAAAAATTATCTAATTCTCCATTAAAAGCTACTTTCCCTAATGTTCTTATCATTTAAAAAATATTTGCTTGCATGCCTTGCACCAATGCTAGTGGCGAACGATCATTTTCAGTGCTTTGACCCGTTAAAAATTATTTAAGATCCACCTTATCTCAAGATAAAACATCTTCCCTTTCATTATTATCAATAGAAAATGAGATGCTTAGAAGTTTTGACGGTTCAAATATTATACAAGAGTTTGAAAAAAAAAAAAATAAGGAAAAAACAATTTTAATTACTTTTATTCAATATTAGTCATTTAAATAGTTTTATGTATATATAATATTAATATATACTATATAGTATACATAATATGTAATAATTTTTATTTTTAATAGAGATACATTTAGTATTACAAATCAATGATTAATACATAGGTACTTCATAAATAGGAGTTCCTACATAAAAATATAGAAGTATTTGCTATTTATTAGTTAATGAAAAATAATCATTTTACAAAATAAATATTAAAATTTTCAGTACTATAAAAAAAAAGACCATTGTATGAAATAGATAATTACTAGGTAATTAGTATAAGAAAAAGATTTTTATGTAGTTATAATAATTGTATGAAACGTAAATGATTAATTATAAAACCGAGTGTAGCGAGGAAATTTTTTTTTTAAGATTTCATATACTTTCTTATTTATTCATAAAATACACCAGAGGTGCAAAATAATTCCCCCCCCCCCATATATTAACCCTTAATACACTTCTGCAAACATAACTATACAAATATCACAATATGTACGTAGACGTAGTAGGTACTTTAATGTACTCGTATTATAATGACAATGAGAAAAGCCGCTGCATCAACTTCGGTACACCGGCAACAACATTATAGCTTACTGTGTAAACCGTGTATATCATCGCATGAAAACCAAACTTATATTTGATAACATAACAATATTCTTGTTACGATGATAACGGTTATTAGATTTTGGTAAAATCCCAGTTATACCTATATAGCTATAATTTATTATAGTTATTACGATTACATTTATAGTTTATAAAATGTAAACGAATGTTATAAGTTTGACAATTATTGAAGTGTTATTTTAATAATGTATTATACATTTTATGTTTATTTGATTTGTTAAATTAACAAATATATTGTTTAACCAATCATTCATTGTCATGGTGACATATTTTCAGTTTAATAAGACTACTAGTATACCAATTGCGAAAATTCGCAGTAGATAATTTATTTGTATAATAAAAAGTATAGGTGCAATCGAATCAATACATAAGCACATTTTAACAATCAATAAATGAGTATAATATCGAAAATTGAAGACATATCGAAATGACAGAGAGTGTTTATTAAAATATATGTTCCGCAGCATTAGGATTAGTGATGGGATAATCGAATGATTGTAATAATCGAATGATTAGTAATCGAAAAAAAATAATCGAATAATCGAATGATTAGTAGTAAAAAAAAAAAAATCGAATAATCAAATGATTAATAAACTAATAACCTAACCATTTTATTCGAATGAATTATTATTAACATTTACAATTTACATTGCTAGAACCGATTATAATGCTTGTCGCTTATATAAATAATCAAATGATAATCTATAAGTGAAAAATACTGAAATATAAAATATGCAACATTCAAAACTATTTATAGCTTCCGTGTATTAACTAATGTTAGTTATAATTAATAATTTTTAATGTCTCAAGCCCGGTTTACACACAACGACTTATTGCATATTTTGCTGGACATATAAAATGAACAATAAGACGTACGTTTTATTAAGTGTCTACACGTTCCAACTTTTACTCAGTTTTCCATCCCAGAATCAACTGTATTTCTGTTCATTCTCCAATAGTGTTCAGTTATTTAAGTGATGTTTGACGATACGGAAGAAACACTATTGTGGTTTACCATAATGTTCCTAATACGTGTGCAACAGAATTTCGTAGATCAGACATGTTCGCAAGAAAACAAAAAATACCATGCAAATCAAATTTTATATTATAGGTTAATATACCTACTAATAGTAGGTCTTACTATAATATATTATAATTATTAAAAACAAAAAAATGAAATTAAGTTGTTAAAACCATTAAGTGAAGGAGAAAATTAAACCTAAAAAGGACGAAAAGTTGTACTATACATCAATTTTGTATTTACATGTGACGACATGTCGTTCAACTTCGCGTAAAATGAATCAGCACCCATCAGTCTTTCAATCCAATCTTGGATTTCATTCCCATTCGATAAAACGTGCGATTTACTGTATACACGCTCCGTTTTACTTGATACGATTAGTCGTGTTCGATAAAATGTACAATAAGTCGTTGCGTGTAAACCGGCCTTTACATGATAGTAATACACGGTAATTCCTAATTTAGTACCCATCGACTGGAATCTAAATGTAAAACATATTAAAATAAACAAACAAATATATTCTTAGTATTATCTGTTATTATTTAATATTTATTATTTAATCGTGAATTTGATAGGCATTGAGTTACACGTTTGTAGTTTGTACTTTGTAGTATTGAATTTATGACAACACTAACTGCACATTTTGATCCACTTTTTAAACTTTAATTGTTTTTAATTTAAGTATTATAACTTATAAGCTTATACCTAATGGCACCTAGTAAAAGGTCTATAGTGTGGGAACATTTTAAGAAAACTTCTGACAAGTGTGTTATTCGCCAAATATGTAAAAGAGAATTTAAATACCACGGAAATACTATTAATTTAAAAGGTACTATTTAAAAAATTTTTTAGAGTTATTAGTTTTATTATTTATACGTTATTATTTTTAATTATACACATAGTTCAGCTTCAGATATTAAGGTAGTTTTGGGAGGGCATAATTGAAATAACAAATTTTTAATTTTTACAAAATTCGTCAAAAATCACATTTGCCAACTATTATATAGAAAAAAATGTACAAAATGGGCAACTTTTATAGCTGAAGCTTCGTGAATATTTTTTATAATTTTATTAAATTCCTTAGATTTTTTTGTTTTATCTAAAGAACATTTAAAATAAATTCATCCAGCACACATTACACCTGTTTTAAATAATGAAGAAGAATTAGATTTGAATCTATCAGCCGGACCATCTACTTCATTTTCTAATAATTCCAACAATATACAACAAACTGAACCCTGCTTTTTTTCTGCACCTAAACGTTGTCGCCAATTAAAATTATATGGTCCGACTGAAGGTAACAATTTAACTGATGAAGTAAAAAATTCTATAGATGAAAGTTTAATTAAGATGATTGTTACTGACTACCAACCTCTATCGTTAGTTGAGAACAGTTGGTTTTATAGAATATTCTAAAAAATTGTAACATTTACATAAAGTTCCCAGTAGGAAAACATTAACTACAAAATTATTGCTAAATAAATACAATAAGATTATTACAATATTAAAAAAAAATGTTGGAAAATGTAGCTAATTTGTCAATTATAACTGATATATAGATTTCTGACAATAATATAGCTTATTTAATAGTTATTTTTCATTTTATATTTGATGATCGTCTATATTCACCTATCATGGCAACTAGATAAGTGCGTGAATCTCATACTGGCGTCAACATAGCTAATTTGCTTTCAGATATTTTAAATAAATGGGACATTAAAGATAAAATGGTGATTATAATCTCGGACAACGGATCTAATATAAAAAAAACACTATAAATGTACACCTTTGTAAACACCACCATCCACGTGTCGCACACACACTCAATTTAAGTATAAACGAAGCAATTATGTCGAATAAAGATTTCCTGGATGTTTTAAAAAAATGACGCACATTGGTAGGACATTTTAAACATAGTGTTTTTGCATCTGAAAAACTAAAAGAACTGCAAACACAAATGGAATTTCCTGTATTAAAAATAATACAAGATGTATCAGATGGAATTCGAGCGTTCATATGTGAGATAGACTTGTACAAATTAAAGCACCTTTGTCGGCGGCTATGACATTTTTTCCCCGTGCACCAGACCTTTTAACTGCACTAGATCGGGAATTAATAACTGATTGTCTACCTATATTAAAACCATTTGATGACATAATAGTTATTTGTTGAAATATATCCAACACTTTGTTCAGTCATTCTATTAGTAAGGGGCCTTCAACATACGTTAAAAGTATAATAACTAATACAACTGCTGGAAATTCACTTCAAAAAATTGTAATTTATGTCATCGGTAGATGATTAGGTATACTAGAATGTGATAAAATAGTTGCTAAATCAACTTTTTTAGACCCTAGGTTTAAAAAAGCAGGGTTTGGGTTAATTTAAAATGCAAATAGTATCGAAAAACTGCTTATCAAAGAACTTTCTTATATATTAAATAATAAACACCAGGAAGATACATGTAGTGTATAATTGTTCGATTAATCGAATGATTTTAAAATAATCGAATTA